TCATGATCTTAAGCAGATTTATTGGTGGGATGGCATGAAGAGGGATATTGCAGACTGTGTGGCTAAGTGTCCTAATTGTCAGCAGGTTAAGGCAGAGCATCTTAAGCCTGGTGGTCTGACTCAGATCATTGAGGTTCCGACTTGGAAATGGGAGGCCATTAATATGGACTTCGTAGTTGGTCTTTCGAGGACTAGGAGGCAGCATGACTCTATATGGGTTGTTGTGGACAGATTGACTAAGTCTGCCCACTTTATCCCAGTGAAGTCTACTTACAGGGCCGAGGATTACGCGAGACTTTACATTGATGAGATTGTGAGATGGCATGGGATCCCTTTGTCTATTATTTCAGATAGAGGAGCTCAGTTTACTTCACATTTTTGGAGATCTTTCCAGAAAAGCTTAGGCACGCAGGTGAAACTTAGCACTGCCTTTCATCCTCAGACAGATGGGCAGGCAGAGCGCACTATTCAGACATTGGAGGACATGTTAAGGGCGTGTGTGATCGACTTTAGAGGTAATTGGGATGACCATCTACCTTTGATAGAGTTCTCGTATAATAATAGCTATCACTCCAGCATTGGGATGGCACCGTTTGAGGCATTGTATGGTAGGAGGTGTAGATCTCCAGTTGGGTGGTTCGAGGTTGGAGAGTCATCTATTTTGGGTCCAGAGATCATTCATGAGGCCTTGGAGAAAGTTAGACTGATTAGGGACAGGTTGTCTACTGCTTACAGCCGACAAAAATCATATGCAGACAACAGAAAACGACCCTTAGAATTTAACGTTGGTGACCAGGTCTACTTGAAGATATCTCCTATGAAAGGGGTGATGAGATTTGGTAGAAAAGGGAAGCTTAGTCCGAGATATGTGGGGCCATATGAGATCCTACAACGCGTGGGTGAGGTGGCCTATGAGTTAGCATTGCCTGCGGAGCTAGCTTCTGTTCATCCAGTCTTTCATGTCTCTATGTTGAAGAAGTGCCTAGGTGATCCAGCATCAATCCTACCTGTAGAAGGTTTGGGGGTTGGTGAAGACTTGTCCTATGAGGAAATACCTGTTGAAATCTTAGACAGACAGGTCAAGCGGCTAAGGAACAAGGAGATTGCCACAGTGAAGGTATTATGGAGAAACCATCTTGTTGAGGGTGCTACGTGGGAGGCCGAGGCCGACATGAGATCCCGATATCCACATCTTTTCAACTCTTGAGGTTAGGCTTCCTACTCATAAGACTATAGTTCCTTATCTCTTCGTATTTGTTGCTATTGGCTGATTGTACATAGCAATTAAGTTATGATCTGATTGGCATTATGAGGTGTAATGGTAGTGTCATTCGGGGACGAATGTTCCTAAGGGGGGGATAATGTAACGATTCAAAAAAAATTTTTTATATAAATAAGAATAAATAAGTATTTAAAGGGCGTAATTGTCCTTTCACGTTTTAAATGAATAAATAAATAAATAAATCAAAAACAGATTTGTATTTATTTATTATTTGACTGATTTTTGAATTAGTCTCCTAATCCAAATAGTCCTCTCTCTCTCACGCTCCTTAACTCTCTTTCTCACGTTCTCCATCTTCATCACATTATTTCTGCCAAAAATATCAACAGTTTTCATGCTTGAAAAACTCACAAAAAATTTTCAAGTAAAAGAAAATAAGTAATCAAAACGTCAAGGCTAAGAGAGGTTCGTCGAGAGAGGTGTGCGTTGAAGTGAATTGGGAGTGGTTTGGAGGAGTTTTCCGGGCAGCAACATTAAAGTTTGAACATCGATTAAGGTATGGGTTTCTTCTCTCTTGGCTCCTTTCCCAAGAGGCCCCTTACGATTCAAGTTATTCATCTCGAAACTAAGGCTGTTTCCCGTTGCATGCCCCTGTCACTAGCTCCCAATGAATTTTAGGTTGGGTATGATTGCTGGTAGATTTAGGTGTATATTATGTTTTCGCGATGAATATGATTATGTTTGTGTACTTGGAATCGTATGAAAGACAACCATGTTTTTCTTGAAATTATGTGTAAGTATGTTACAGTGAATGAGGTTCTTTATGTAATGCTCCAAAAGTTTAATGTAATATGATTGTATATTTTTCGTGAATAAAATGGGGTAAGACGTGAAGTTCATATGAAATGTTAGGTGGCTTGATTGAGGGAGTAATTCTTGGTTAGACGAATCTATAAAAAAAAAAATATAATGTGTAATTAAAACATTATGAATGAACCATGAAATTTCCCTAAGAATTAATGTTAAACTTGATGAAAAAGTGAAGAAAAATCGTAGAATAAATTTCCAGAACTTGAAAACAGACTTTAAAAGAATCTGGAAATTTTTTGAACATCAAAAGAATTAAAAAAAAAAGTTTTGAGGCCTGCAGGGATCGAACCCAGGACCTCCCTGCAGCATGCCTTAATTAAAAAAAAATGGGGCTGGCAGGGATCGAACTCGCGACCCCAGCCACGCGCAAAAAAAAAAAAAAGATTTAAAAGGGAATGCTGGGGGCGGGGATCGAACCCACGACCCCCAGTTCGCGAAAAAAAAAAAAAGGAATAAAAAGGGATGTGAGGCGTGGGGATCGAACCCACGACCTCAGAGTTGAAGGGAGGGGTACAAATATTAAGGAAATAAAGGTGAGGCTGTGGGGGTTCGAACCCACCACCTCACAGCCTCCATTTCCAGCGAAAATAAGAGAAAAATAAAGGGGGCTGTGGGGGTTCGAACCCACAACCTCCCTATTCAAGCGAATGTAATTAAAAATAATAATAATAATAAATTAAAATTCTAATTAAAGTTAAAAAAATTAATTCTCTTATGTAAACATTGAGATTTAATTTAGAATTTTAATTAAAAATAGAATATTAATTCTTTTATGTAAATATTGAGATTTAAATTGGAATTCTAATTAAATTAGAAAATTATTCTTTCATCTAAATGATTGAAATTTAATTTAGAATTCTAATTAAAATAAAACAATTTATTATTTCACGAAAATGTTGAGACTTAACTTAGAGTTCTAAATTTATGAATATTAGAACAAAAATCAATGAAAAATATAAATGATATCCAAATAATTCAAAATTTGGGTTCTCGTGCCCAAACCTCCGTATTGATACATAAGTCATACGTGAGTAAAATATTCAAGAATAATGTAATCTACTTTGATCAAAAATCAAGATCTTGGTATATATACAAGATACATAAGTCTTGTAATACATAATCTTAGGAAAATAAGAATCACTTAACGAACTATAAACGAAGCCCCATGGCTTGTATGTATAGACACATAAGTTTAACATACGTTCAAAAAAATAAGTGAACCTAAGATGTACGTAATGAAATGAAGAATGTGGTGACAATCATGATGTGAGGCTAATGTATATGGAGAGAGCAATCTCAAACGAGCCTAAGTAAATGTTACCAATACGTATTCATCAATGAGGGTGTAAGATAATGAAGAGACCAGTCTCTATAAATACTTTAATGAAAAATATTGAGTTTAAAACACTTAATACTAATAATGAGATGAGAAATCATCTATTGAGCTATGATGCCCTCATACTAGAAGACAACTTCCATGATGTATGAGTTGGATGTAATGGAACTTTATACTGAGCACCGATAGGCTAGCTATGAGCGGTGATGCCTTCTTTCGGGAAGGGCGGAGGTTCACGTAACTCTCATGAGATGAGACTGTCCGGCTTGCCGGGTATGGGTCTCCATACATCTCCTAGTCTTTGAACCTATATTGCCACTATAGGGATCTGGCGGGGTTAAATTCCCATATACGCTAGCATGTTATTGAATCGCTTTGGCCGGTGATTCCACCTCTTTTCGGTGTGGGGAAGACACTGGATTTCATGATGCTCACATGATCTATGTCGGTTAAAGTTAAAGTTCCCAATGAATGAATGAGGCCAGCCTCAAATGAATCATATAAAGAAATGAATGATACCGAAGGTGTTAGGATAGGATAATCAAGAGGTGAGCTAGATTTAGGTAATGACATTAGGTCATTCCTGATCATTGCACAGCAAACCCAATGGAAGTCTTAAACTACATCCTAGGTATAGCTGGTGTTCGCACTGGCCTATGAATGAATTGAAATGAAATACGAACGAATGAATGAAGCAGGCTCTGTGTTTGCTGAAGAAGGCTCCCTAGTTGAGGTCCCATATGTTGAGCCCTCATTTTGGGAAGTCTTAAGGTTAAGTCTATGATAGTAAGGTCTCATGGTATATGAATGAACAATATGAAAGAAACTATGTGCTATATGTTATGTGTTATATGAAGATATTATGTGTTGTGTGCCATACAATAACTATAATGATGCATGTCACTCTCGTGGCATAACCTTCCTAATCTCATTTTAGCAAGTCCACCGACTTGACTTCCAAAAATCATGTTGTTAGGAAAGAGCTATTCTTTCTCATGCATGTCCCTGGTGTGTGCTTGCATATACCCATACTTAGTACAAGTGTGTACTAATTCCATACAAACATCTACTTTTAGGTGCAGGCACAGGTGTACGGTAGAGCTACAAGTTCTTTGTTGCAGCTATCTGGACGTCAGCATTCATCCGGAGTTTGGTAGGTCCTTATGCCTTCGAGGATGCTACTGTTTTACATTCTAGCGTAGTTTTAGAGTTGAGCTAGTGGGGCATGTTCCACTAGCGTTTCTTTCCTGTTTTGGTTCAGACTTTGTATTGGTGCTATTTTGGCCGATATACAATTAATATTTAATGAATTATTTCTTTCAGTTGCTTATCTCTTAAAGGTTAGATGGTTGATGATGAACGATTACGAAATGTTAAGAATGTTCAGCAAGTATGATTAAAGAATCAAAAATTCCAAATTTTCCGCTAAAATTAATCTATGTAAAGTAAGAATGACGTAAGTAGGCTTGTCTGCGACCTCTGAGAGGTCAACGACGCCGGTCTCGTCTGGGGTCTAGATTCCGGTCGTGACAGTATACAAGTTGAAGCAGACACAAGGGTATTAAACGCAGATCTTATTGCTGCATTTACTCTTTATCTTTTAATTATTGTGTAATGATTATAATTGTATGTGCTATGTGGTCCTACAAAACTAGTATAGAAGGTTTGTTACAACATCCGCGTGGAAGTGGAAACACTCGGAATGACTGAAAATTTTAACACGGGTAGGTTCCTGTAAGCCGGATGTGATCAAGTGTCGTCTTAAGGCCATACTTGAGCACTGCCTTGTTACCTTCTCTGAATCCATCCCCATAAGCTGCTGATGTATCTGATTCAATTTGGTGCTTAAAAAAATCACCCAGTTTCTTCTCAAAGTCGGAGCGCTTCCCTTTCTTTGATGAAGTAGATGGTGATGAAGATGATGATGAGGATGCAGAGGTAGATGCAGAAGTTGAAGTACTGCCAGAACCAGCTATAATTTCCGAGTCCAACCACATGTGAGCTAAAACTTGGCAGATACCTTCTTCCACTTCTGGACTTAAACTCGGATAACCTAATAAACATTTAAATGGAGAACTTATCTTTAGAATCTTAACATATAAAAGGATATCACATTCAAGTGTCATCAAAATAAAACATCCACCTTTAAGCCGCAACCATGCATGCATCATTTCATGAGCCAGAATTGAACCAGTCAATAACCTGAAAAAGTCATGAGTAAATTTGTCTTCAGATAGAGTGAAGTAAGAATATCTTATGAGGTATGATTTTTAGACCATTCTATTAAGCATGAAAGAAGTGTGACATTTATTACCTAGGAAGACCATACAAAATTAGAATAGCTGTCACTTCACAGTGTCGAATTAACCTGTAAGGCTCTGTAAACATATCTAAAATCCGATAACCACCAATCCGTGGTCTCCTTGAAATCTGAATTATTTGTATGAATCAAGACATATTTCATTTTGAACAGTATATGGACATTTAAGAAAAGTGCAGAAAAAGGGAAGACTCATACACTGCTAATGGTCTGTTCCTCGGACAGGCAGAGTCCTCGAGTCTCAGGCATGTGATGATGACCCTATCAAGACGAAAAAAAATGGAAGTTGGATGTTAGGTAACAGCTTTCTCAGACTGTGATTGTATAGCGTCTTTAGAAATGGATAATTCTGAACAGAACTCTTACGTTCTTTTCTCCTTCCATTGCTTCATTTAATGCTTGTCTTTCAACTAGAAGCAAAGGAATTTGCTGCTCTACTTTCATATTTAAACCTTCATAAAATTCTTGTATCTCAAGATAAAGGGGTTGACATTCATGAGTGTCCATTATTGAAGAGTCCAAGCACTCTAGACACAGCTTCCTACCATCTTCAAGTATCAGATATCTGGCATCTACGGGCTACAAAAACAAGAAATCTTAACATTACTCAACAAGAACAAGAGAAAAAAGAATGTCTCAGGTTTAAACATATATTCAGGTTTTATAGTATTCCTATTTGTTCTGCTAATCTTTAAAGACATATATGCACTTTAAAGAAATGTTACAATAGTTAGTGGCAGCAGCTAACCTCCATTCTCTCACAACTGCAACAACGAGGCGTCCCATCAGTTTCATGTGATGGGCAATACTTCTGAAGCCAGAAAGGATGAGCCCTATATTCAATTAGACCAGCCGGATTTGTTGGAATCTAAGCACATAGAAGTCGAGGAGAAATACAAAAAATATGGTTAGTCATATTTTACCAGAATGAAGCTGTTGGATGCAGTAAAGCTCATGGTGCAATACCACAAACAAGAATGAATGCAACACTTACAAAGCTCTTGCATACATCACATTTTGGGTGATGCTGTTCCTTGTAGCATGATTTATGGTATGGACGGTTATCTGACATTGAAAACTGTAAAAGACAAGAAATTAATTGCTTTAATATTCAACAAGTCAAGATAGTAACTGAAAGAACCATGGATAAAAACTTATTCGAGTAAAATTTGACTACATTTAGACCTCATAGTCGGAAATTGGTTGATTGCAACCATGGCAACGGAAACATTCTGGATGCCAAACAGCTCCCATGCAACTTAAATATCTTCCATGTCCAATTTCAGCATTGCAACCGGCACAGACCCTACAATCAGACACATCAGTACAAGGATATGTTAACAAGGACATGATGAGAGAATAAAATTACAACTCAATTAAGAGATAAAATAGTTAAAAGTACTTTTATTCCAAAAGAATAGAAGAGGTGTTACCTATACCCATACGGAAACGAGTATGAGAGTGAGGGAAAGGGACTTCCATAATCATATCGAGGTGGTGGTGGTGGTGGAGACGACTCCACATTCAAACTTTCCTGAAGGGCCTTGGCGAGAGCCTCGTCTTCCTCCAAATGGGGTTCACTCTCTATTAGGTAGCAGCAGAAGATTAAGATACACATTGATTTGCAATTAAGCACCAATATACTAGAGCTGCATAAAACATTACAAACTAACCTAGATACTATAACCCCTAAATCCACAATTATCCTGACAAAAGAAGCAACAGTAAATAGGTCCTATTCCATCAGACCATGCTTGACAAAAACATCATTTTTCTGATTGATTCTGCATTTATAACCACACAATTTCTCAAAAAGAAAGAAAAAACTTAGGACAAGAGTTGCAGATTTATGCAAACACAACAATATCAATAAGGTGAGTGTTTGCCAAATACTTCAGATATACCATACAATTCTATAATGAAGTCACTGAAAAACTTGTCGAGTGGAGAGAGACAGAAAGTTGTCATTGTTTACCTTATTATTTATTCATCAGATGATCTAGACAAGAAATCAATCTTTACAAAATGGATGACATTCATATTAAATCCTAATAATGTTACTTACCAATTACTTTTTTCCCCTTCTGATCCTCTTCTGCTAGAGAAAGTGCAATGGCACGATCAATTTCTTCTTTATCAAAATCTGACGATTCATCCTACACTCGGTCCGTATTATCATATTCAGTTAGCAAGGGAAAGACTTAACTAAAAGCTAGAACTCTGTGACCATTTTCTCAGCAACATAGCCTGGGAAAATGCTCAATTTATAATGCACTAATCAAATGTTAGAAAACACAGAACAACTTAAAGCAATTAGCAATAGAATCACTGATTACCACTGATGTAGTTGGTCCGTCCCAAGTAGTACTGTCCTGATACCCTCCATGATATTGTTCTCCTTCATGCCCCGAATGATATTGCCCTCCATCGTAGCCCCCATGATATTGCGCACCCTCATACCCACTATGGTATTGTCCACCGGAGATCCTGTGTGTGGAACCTCCAAATATCTTTTCTAACCAACCCATAACACAATTTCCTGTCCCTGGTGTACAACAACTACGCCTCAATCCCAAACAAGTTGAAGTTGGCTATATGAATCCAAAACTGGTAAGCAATAAACACCTGCAAAGCCAAAAAAGGATATTTATTAGGAACTGCTTGTGAACTGGATCATCTGTATCTGCTAGCAATCTCGAATTGATCCTATAAGTAACAAAACTAACATGAACTATCGGCAGAGTTGAAACTGCTCATCTATAAATTAATGATCAAGAAAATCACAAAAAAGATAAGGTAGCATCTGAATACTAAAGTAAATTCAACATGACTACTAACAGAACCGATAATCAGCTGAGGGAAAACGACAATCTTCTCGAAAATTGTAATATCAGCATAATATATTGGTCATCATAAACAAGTTGCCCTCATCAGTACAAAATAATGACCACCCACCAACCGTCAGAAAGACAACCGACTATTGATTTGAGGTCTACATAAAAGACCAGAGAAAAACATTTGAATTACTATGATCCAAGTTAAAAGAAACAGGGAAAAAGTGGTTATATGTTTGGAGTCTCACTTCCAAATGAATCAGTACAAAGCATCAAATTTCAGTTTGAAGGTAGGTCATGTACCAAGAACCGGAGATGACACTAAAGATACCCATATCCCCACCATTCTAAACAAGAATAAAAACTTGTCAAAATTACAAAACAGAGGTTCAGAGGAACATTCCAGTGGAAGTGTGAATAAGATTTTAAAAAAGTAAGCCAGAAAAAGGAGAAACCAAATGAAAGGAATTGAATTCCACCGAAAATATAAGCCCAATTTTTTTTAAAAAAAAAAACAACTTTGTCAAAGAAGAGTAATTAGATCGGCGAAAATTGAATAAAAGGATGATTATGAGAAAAGCTTAATTATTTCAAAATTGGAAAAAGTTTTGTGCTTTTGTTGAAAGGTGGGACCTTTGTACCATTGATTTGGTATCATCAGTCCACAATATGTCAAAACCCCATTAACTTAACTGCTAAACTTTTTCAAGAAAATGCGTCAGCAGAGAAAGAGAAGACCATTTATGTTGTCACTATTGAATCTTTTGGCCTTTTTCTCCAAGTGGGAACTCTACATTTGAACTTGATTAATAAGCCTTGCAATTTAATTACTCAGCTGTATTTTTCTGGTAAAAAAATGAAGAAGAAATGAAATTACTTGATCGAGAGTGAAGTATTTTGAGTGGGAGTTTAAGGATGTGTAGCAGGTAGGAAGTACAAATCAGAGCTGAGAAAATTGACAAGTGGCCAAATAATAATCCTATCAATCTTTGCTTAAACTTCTGACACCAAGTGACTGTCTACTTTGTATTCTCCTATAAAAATCAATTTGTCTTTCCCAAACTTTTACTTTACAAAAATACATTTCACCTGATCTGTTTTCGCTTTAAAAATATCTAGGCGTTTGACTGAAAACAAGTTATTTCAAGATAAATTATCATAAAGTTAGTTATCCTCATATAACTTTATCTTCTCATATAATAATATAAATTGTGAGATAAGTTATTTTAAATAAAATAATCAAATAAAATTAAAAAAAAAAAATTTATCACTATTATTTTTAATCTTACGCACCAAACAACCCTGACAGTTACTTGCTGACACTTGATTACTTCTCCATGTTGCACGTAATAATAACCGAACCAAGTTTACCTACAGTTAATTATTTTGGTAAATTTTATAAGCTTTCAATGTATACCAATTTTTTTTGAATTATACCTCTATAGTGAGATATCTTAAACCTTTTGTTTTTATCGTATTTATAATTTTCGAGGGAAGGAAATTCAATTAAGCCACTTATTTATGGTTTAGATAAAAATCCATTCAACTTTTTAAAAAAAGGAACCAAATTGATCAAATAATTTATTTTTAGTTGGGTTTGATTTAATTTAATTTTATATATATAAAAAAATTAATATTATTTGATTTGATTATGATTTTGTTCGAAAAATCGAATTGAACTGATAAATTACATCCATATATGCATATATAATATGTTATTTTATAGACAATTTTAAAGTTCTCATAGACATTTGTTTATAAATTACTAGTTTCCGAAAACGTGCGTTGCACGTTTATCCTAAAATACTTCATACAATGTTTGTAGCGCAAATAATAAATTTAAACAATATATATATATCAAGAATTAACTATTATGCATGAAAAAAATACTACTTTCAATCACATTTGTTACCGACCCAAAGGTATATATGTACATTTCACAAATTTCGTAAATAATTCATTTCCTCGTAAATTCAAAAAATAATGAAGTTACAGTGGTTCATCAACTTATAAGACACCATTGATTCTCTTTATCTTCATTTTTATTCTCTTCATGTTCATTTTTTTCTTTCTTTAATTTTTTTGTTAGTGAGTTGGATTCACTTGTACAGAATCACATCAATTTTTTGTCTTGTAGGATATTCCACTGATTGTCATGAATGTAGTGATAAAGCTAGAAGTCTTTCTTCTTGTCCTTGTGTAAAAGATTCTTTTTTTGGATAATCCAATTAAGTGTACCGTCTCAACTTCTATAAAATAATTTTTATTTAAAAATCAAACCAAAATTTTATTAAGAACATATCAACTTACACAAAAATAATTAATTGCATATAAGGAACAATGATTTATTACCTGAAAATTGATACCACTTGAAACAGTTCAATCTGTGTTGCTTCACTTACTGCATCATCACTATGAAATATTAGCGTCATTTCTTAATTGTATCTTCATAAAAAAAAGTCAAATTTAAAAAATTTATTAGTAGTTGAAATATTCAACAATTTAGATGAGTTCAAATAAAGATAAATAAAACATTATAACAAACTCATATAAAAAAAATAAAGATAACATGATTACATGAGAAAGTATAATATATAATATAGGAAAATAGAGAATCTGCTAATAGAAGATAAAAACATTACAAATTAAGTGATCCAAGAAGTGTCATTATCTTCTTGAGAGTGTGGAAAGATTATGAAGGTGTGAATATTAATGATGAGATAGTGGAGGTGTGGTATTAATACACATTATGACAAAATTACACCTAAAACTGATCAGATAGAGAAATGAAAAGTTTCTCTAATACGTTTTTGTAATAACTTTATAATTAATTATTTTTACAACTATTCATTCTCCTACATTATTTTAACAATAAGTGAATCAACTTAATTAACAATTTAAGCACATTTAATATTTAATTAATTAATTATTTTATAATATTTTAATTTAGTATAAGGCTAAAATGGTAATTCAACTTTTAAGTTTTGGCCTTCATGCTTATAATAATATATGATTACTGAAAGAAAAAAGTCATCACGAGAACATTTATCTTATTATTTTCATATATAAAGATATCTATGACAATTCTTTGTAGGATTGAACAAGTCAATGTCGAAAATTCTCTAGTGTGAATAATTTAAACTATTTTTAGTTTTCAATGGACCGTTGTCACTTCTTTCACGTTTTGATGAATTGTTATTTTAGTCTAATAACCGAACCAAATCAAATCGATAAATGTATATTATATATGATTTGCTTTTGATAATTTTAAAACCAATTAAATTGATTTGATTTTAACCAATAACTGATCTAAATCGATGCATAACCCTTTTTTTTCTACTATTCCTGTTTAGTAACTTAATTGGTAAAACGGAGTTTTTTTAATAAAAAAATCACTTTTTTGATTGAAATTTGAATTTCGCTCCCTAGTAATTTTGACCTATTCTGTCGATCAGAAGGTTCTAATATAATTAAAAATATTAAGGTTCAGGTTCGACTTGTATTTCTTTTATGGATTATATTAATAATGTTAAAAGTTTTTGGAAAATTATGGGTGTGTTTATGCTATTAGATAAACAATTTCTCTTCGGTGATCCCAAGTAACATCTAATAATTGAGTGGATAAATATGATACAAAAAGTTTTGAAGTCCAAAAGCTAAAAATAATCGATGTTATTCTTGAAAATAAAAAAACTCCAAGTTTCTCTTTCCCTTTTCCTAACTTTTAGTTAAATATGAACACTGTAATTACTATTTAAAATATGATTTTGAGTTAGTTAAATATGGACATCATAGTTCTAATTAAATATGAAAACTTTGAATTAATTAGTTAGGTTTTTTATTATGATAGAAATAATTTCAAATAATCAGTTTGAATTAGTCATACCCTAACAAATTAAAAATCATTCCATAATTCATAATTGCACTAGTCCAATTATATTTCAAAATTCCTCATTAGACAATAATATTCCGTGTTAAAATTACATATGCTAATCAATAAATAAAAACTTATTCACTTTAAAATGCTTCCCCGTGGTTCTCTTTGATTTTGTTTTAACATTTGATTCATAAAATAAGACATTTCGAGATCAAATTTGAAATTTAATTCAAATTTATAGTGCTTTATTGAGTTAAGGAAAAATTGAATATAATGATAAATTAATAAATCAAATTAAATATCCTAATTACACTTTGATTTAATTGTGCACTGTAACAAATTGTTTGTCAGTCATCTCTCTTCCTCAAACTCTCGCTCGCCACTCTCCCTCTCTTGCTCTCTCTCTATCTCTCTCACTTTTATACATACACAAGTGTATAGCATTCTTGTTTGTATAAAGCGAGAAAAAATTGTATATATACATATTTTTTTGTTCCCCTCTCTCCTCTCCCAGATCTCGCTCGCCACTCTCACAGATCTCGATCGCCACCCTCGTCTCTATCGCTTATACAAACAGAAACAAAGTGTATAAACTGTGTTTTTGATTGTATAAAGCGAGAAACAATTGTATATACACATGCAAATACATATATTTTCGTTCTATACACTTATAATTATCCAATACAAATATTTTTCTGCCCGATTTTTTTTATTTTTCTCTCTTTCTCTTTTTATACATACACAAATTATACAATTGATTTATATATAATTGCTTTCTTTTGTACATGTATAACGAATTATACAATTGATTTCCTTGTATACATATAGCAAATTATACATATTTATTTTGTTATGGAACACAATTATACAAACTTTGTTATGGCATGCAAATATAAATTTTGTGTTTGCTATATGTGAAAGTTATTTTTTAGTTAAAGGTATTCGAAATTAATTATAAATATTTCACCTTATTCTATCACCTTAAAAAATTAGTTTAACAATTATCATTTTATTTATCGATAGCCATGTAGGGAACTGAGTTATGTTTGTGTGATGTCAAAACATTTGTTGGGTCTGTTACTCTACCTTACAATACTCCTATTTACTATTTTCGGAAAAGAGTACTCTGTATTCCTCTTACTTTCATTTATGGATTTTTTGAGTTATCGGAAAATGAAATTTAATTTAAGGAAATCTTTTGCTAATTGTATTACATTTCATTTATTTGTTATGTTGGGAGTTGGGGATAAAAGAAAAAAATAATAACCCATAAATAACGTCAAGTAGTACTCAGTCGCATTTTAATAGATTTGCTTTTAACTTTTTGCTTCTTCTAATTTGCCAACAACAATATCAAGCATATAAATTTAGCAATATGGTACACTATTTCAATCATCAGCTGACACTTTTTTAATTTATTCATTGTACTTTCTCAATATTTTACAAAGTGATATAATGCATATGTACTAGATGATAAAATTTGGATCGAGAAAATATTATAATAATCATAATATCTTATTTTAAGTATAATGAGTGTTGCATTCTCTATAAAAATCATTTGGTTCTTATTTCTAATAACAAACTTTTGCGACTAATTTTGAATTTGTTGAACTTCATCTTGACTTATACTTGAATTCAATGGCTTGAAGTTTGATATTGAATTTTCTTTTTAATTTCTAGAACTTGTAGATAAATATTTT